CACTCGCATGTCGGCTTTAGCTGTACAGAAGCCGTATTAGGATAAACTCACTCATGGCTTTACATCCTTAAGGAATCCAGAAGTATTCTGAAGATCCAACAAGGGCAGCTGCATTTCATGCTTGATACGCTCTTCAATTGTTACAAGACTGCCTCACCCCAGTGAAAGATGACCTAGTTGTTTTTTTTTTTAATTATTCATACTTTTGCACTTCCCATGAGGGCTATGGCAATGAAATGAAACTGGCCTTTAAGTTTTCAGCACCCAGAGAATTACAGCTAGTTTCAAGCACGGCAGTGCCTCTGTGATATGAGAGATCGGATGCACTCAGGCTTTGTTTCCAGGTCAAGTCTGACGCCAGCAGATCTTCACAACCCTGGCTCAAAACAGCTACTTCTAGAACCCCTACATAAATTAAACACAGAGACAAAACCTGACTAACAATCACAATCTTCTGGCATGCTTGAAGTTCTCGATAATGATGAAGCCGAGCTCCAGAAAAGGCAATTGTGAGGTACAACTCCACATCACAGAAACAGTTTCCAGGAAATTACTTCAGGATCAGACCTATCACTTTTAGCTGCAAACACAGTGTACAGTTCTGTGAGGACACAGCAGTGCAACAGACAGACATTTCCTATGTTTAGTAACTACAGAAGGTGTTCAGACAGGACAAGTAGCAGCATAATTCAGAAAGCCACGGCAGCACGCTCCATTTCACTCCTTATGCCATTTCATACAACTGTTTGGTTCCTGAGGTACATAAAAAGTCATAAAACATAACTGCAGAGATGTCAGATCCCTTTGAATGCAGATGCCCAAGACGGCATCACAGCTGTTTGTGTATCCTTCAGCCTGCCGGTGCCTGTATTTGTCAAGCAGAGTGGAAGAAAAGACCTTAAATCTTTCTATAAACTATAAAATGCCAAGGAAACCTTTACAGTAGTTTACCATTATCTCAGATCAGCTAATGCCAAGTATTCCTACAAAAAAATAGATCAGACTATATCGGGCTTCTTCCATGACTGTCTAGGGACTCTATTTTATTTTAAAATATATTTTTGACCTTTAGAACATTAAGTGGCAAAAAGTTTAATATTTAAACATACAACACAAGAAAAAATAGTTCTTCAAGACCAGACAACTCTGAAATGCCTGTATGTGCTCCAGTAGCTATGCTTGAAAACAACGATGCTCTTTTTGACTTTTAAATACAAAACCTTTTTAGATCATGTATTCTACCCCTTCATTTTTTTCCCTAACCTGAAATATGACTTTGAGGTGATTACTTTCTTGCTACTGCTAGTTTTCTAATCCTCCCTTAACACATTTTGGTGGGAAGAAGGTGTAGCATGAGCCAGAACAGACTGCATGTGCTATTTGATTTCTCTTTATTATTACTACAGAGAAACCATGTTAGCAAAACTATTTTTTGAAAGCATTCTCATTTCCAAATTACCTAGCAGGGAAGTAAGAGTTCTTGAAAACCTTTTAAAAGACACAGTATGAATGAGAATGAAAAAATACAACACAAATAGTTTCTCTGAATGTGCATTTCACTTGTCCAGACACGTAGGGTACCAAAAAGGTGATTAAACTCCAAAGAACATTGTTTCTCTTGGGGGGGTATACTTATTTCCAAGCTGTCTACTGTGATTTGACTAAATGAGTATTCTATTCTTAAATATTCAACTGGCAGGTTGTAGAAGCATCATGTGAAGTTTCAGTTATGAAAAGTAGCAACTGAACACAGCTTTGAGTCAATAGAGGTGCCAAAAGACTCCCAAGCAGATGGCGTAAGTGTGCTTTACTGTACTCACTTTAAAACGAACAAGGAGACCGATATGGTTTCAAAAGATTCAGTAGCTTCCAGCCAGAAAAATGCAGGCATTTACTTTGCGAGATGTTTAGCTTGTATTGGCATTCAAAGAAGAGAACTGAAGGGAAGACTATCTTAAAAACATGACGACAACAGCAGCAACATCAAGACAGGGAATTTCACAAAGCATTTGTGATCACTCCAGACATAACAATCCTTATTTTGCTCTAAACTGGAAGCTATTCTTTATTTAAAAATCTGGGAGCAGACTAACAGAAGCATTAGATGCAGGGCTTGACAGACAGTGTCAGAACATATCATAAAAAGTTTAATCTCAGCATTCTTACTATGTTTATGAGAACGCGATGAAGTGCTAGGTTTCAGTTCCGCACGAACAGTGCCAAGGAATTTAGGTGGTTTATTCAGCAAGCATGTTTGTCACTGGAGAGAGGAAAATGATGCTGTCCTAAGTAGCTTAAATTTGGGAGTTATATATCCATCATTTGCTTTGAAATCTTTCAGACTCCAGAACATCTGAGGAATGGTACTTTCTCTTCCCACATATTTCATGCACTCTGGAGATGTTGAACTACTGAAGAAGTGCCTTAATGAGATATTTACTGAAAATTATATTCGTGCCTTAGCTTTGTGGTTCAGAAAGTCATAAAAATAGATTTATGGGAGAAAACTTACAGCCTTTTAGTAGTACCAAAACAGTTTTATGGAATACAAGAAGGGAACAGTTATTGAATAGATTATAAACAGTAATATCTCTACAATTACAAAGCTGACCATAAATTGTATGCTACTGGCACGTATTCTATACCTCATTCTACCTTCAGTAATGTGGCCAGACAAGTGCAAAGTTCTCACCACAGCCGCCTCCTTCTTTTGTATGCTCTTAAGTTCCAATATAACAGTAATTGCAGCAGACAAAACTGAATACTTCTACAAGAACCTTGAGATTTAAGTGACCTGGATCATCCAAGTAAATCTGAAGCAGATAAATATTTTGAGAGCTTTCAGAATGTAAGCTATGTTTGGGAAATTAACCAGCTTATTACAAGGGTTTTAAAAAGCTGGTAAAGAAACTTTAATGTGAAGTAACACATTTATACAGTATAGTATTAAAAACAAACACATGGACTTATGAAATTGCTCTCAAATGAAAACATCAGCTATTCCCCCAATGCATGATTTTTAGAAGCTCTTAATATGGATCTCAGGGCAATGCTGCAGGCCAAAAAAAAAAAAGTACTAAGCCAAGTAAAATGTTTAACCTAGTCAATGATCATGATGCTACATGCTATAGTAAAGCTTGAGTATAGAGAAAACCTCACCATAATTACTCAACAGTTTATGTTGGAGTTTGAAAAGCTGCTAAAGGACAGGTGACTGAAATAAAGAAAATAATGCATGTTAATTGCTGTGTTCAATTCAGTTAGGAGCAGGTGAGAAACATGAGCTATTAGTTTAGAAAGAAAACCGCAAGTTAAGACATTTGAGGTTTTCTATAGCAACCAAAGTCCTGTGAGAGTTGGTAGAACTCTCCAATAGCTGAGAAGAGAAGATCTCAGGCAGGAGCTAATCCTGAAAAAATCTTGCAGAACACAGGTAAATGGCCCAACAGGGATTAATATACTTAGCTAAACTTTCTCCTTTTCAGAAATCTATTGTGAAATAAAGTATTAAGTCATGAGGGTTTGGAAGGCTGCAGCCTGAAGGACTAAACCTTCCAATCTGTCTCAGACAACAGGAAATTGGTTTAATCTTTATACACCCACACACAGGCAGCTCTACTCCTCAGAAATTTGTTTTCCAGATATAAATGTTCTAGTTTGCTACCCTTCTGAAAGTGATGTACAGGACAGAGTATGATCATATGCTTAGAGAACTAAACTGAAGCAAAACAGATTAATGTTCTATTAAGTTACCCAGGAAGTATTTGGACAAGTTATTAAAATGGTATCAAAATTAATTTTCAAGACATAATTATACAGTCATATTTTATTGTGTCAAAACAGGAAGACCAGAGTGAGCTTAACTCTTAGGGCAAGTTACCTCTGCTGTCCTGCCAAAAATCACTGAGCTTCAAAGAGAAATCAGACGCTTCCAAGCATCCCAATACCGTCAACTATGCACAATAAGACCCTGCCATCTTGATTTGGACTATTAGGAATTAGTGTTAAAACAGTATACTACTCTGATTGCATACTTCCAAAGAGAAGAGGTTTTTTTTACAGGCTTCATGCCCATAGAGACAATACTCTCCACAAATTCATTTCCCCTCAGCCATTTTCTTTGCTCCCTTTTCAAACCCTGCATACAGAAAAACAAAGTTACTGGTGCTGCAAGCCTGACTTTGCAGCCATCCATACACGCACAGGATCAGAGCAGAGCAGCTGGTCTCCCGCAGCTGGTCAGTGTTGCATTCCTTCGAGTTCTGTGGTTGCAGGCTACAAAGTGAAGCTTAACCAATAATTGCCGCTATTTTCCTATTAGAGCACACAGGTGCAAAGACAGTGGGAAAATCGGCAAAGTGCCAAAATGCAGGAGAAGGCATTCAGAGAGTGAATTTGAGGACAGCACGATAGTTTCCTAGTAGCACAATAATAACAATAGCGTAGCCACACGTTGAAAGACAATGATTACAGAACAAATGAAAAACTCTTCACTGAATATTAAGTTGGTTTCTAGTAGATAACAGTTTACAGTGCTCTTTTGCAATCGATTAAAACCCTCTACGTTAAAGAAAGCTACTTATTTTCTCATGTTTATCAACGGCTACTCCAGTACTAGCAGTAACTCTTCATTGAAGCTTATGCTTGCTGTCTGCAGTTTTTTCCCATAGCCAGCAGCAAAACATGAAAGGCAAGTTTTCCAATCAGCAGCCAAAACTTACCTATAAGACACACTATGTAAGTTTTTCTAGCATTATTAGAAGCCCAATCAATAGACTGACTATGCATGCCAACAGACCTAGAATGACAAAGCTGAACTACTCTATTAGATCACAGAATTCCAACATGAGAAACTCAAACGATTGTCCCAAGGCTACTGAAAGCAGTAGCAAATAACTTCAAACTCCGTGTCACTTCAGACTACCCAAAACTGTTCCAGGTTTTTTTTGTTGTTCTGTTGCTTTGAAAAAGCCACATAAGCATATTTACAACATACTTACTCTCGCTCTTTCTCCGTCAGTTTGTCATTGATATTATCTTTGATTGTAGACCGGGAGCCCTTGTGAATTATAGGATACCTGAGTGGCACTTGTAAGAAGTAGGATATCATTGAAACCAGGTGAGCGGTGTAGCCCAGGGCAACAGCAATGCTTCCATCATCTTTTGCTGTCAATAACAAAAAGATTCCATTATTTAATCAATTGGATCTCACTGCAGGCTCAGCACAAGTTCATCCTTATTGCTTAGGGAATGACATAATTAATCTTAGAATCATAGAATCATTTAGGTTGGAAAAGACCTTTAAGATCATCCAGTCCAACAATTAACCTAACACTACCAAGTCTATCACTAAACCAATTAAGGGGAGAGTAATAATTTCATGTTTCCTGGCTCGGTGGCTGGATTATTTATAATGAAAGTAAAAACTAGGAATCATTAAGATTGGAAAGAATCTCTAAGATCATCAGTCCAACCATCAACCCAACACAACCGTGTCCCAGATTGCCACGTCTACCCATTTTTTGAACGCTTCCAGGGATGGGGATTCCACCACCTCTCTGGACAGCCTGTTCCAATGCTTGACTACCCTTTCCGTGAAGAAATTTTTCCTAGTATCCAATCTAAACCTCCCCTGGCACAGGTTGAGCCCATTTCCTCTTGTCCTGTCGCTAGCTACTTGGGAGAAGAGACCAACACCCACCTCACTACACCCTCCTTTCAGGTAGTTGTAGAGAGCGATAAGGTCTCCCCTTAATGAAGCTATCAGTTAGCTATCAGCTATCTTAAGTTATAACTTAAGAATAGATGCAAGTCTGAAACAAATTGAGACTGCTTTACAATCATTTGCAGTTCACTATTTGCCTCTTTCATTAAAAGGCAATGTAAAATGGGTGATGGCTGGTTCTCCTTCCAATTTTACACTTTTAAAGCTAAAAGTTACTCTTCTCAACATTTGGCTGGGGGATGGGTAAAGAAAAGATGGGAAGAGTGAAACAAAATTCCCAAGACAAAATTCAAGTCTTAAACTTTCTGCATTTCTCTAGATGAAGCTGACATGTATGACCGGGGTCAGGGAAAAGCTGCATTCCTCCATAACTTTATTCATTAGCGAGATCAGTTGGAGAGACACCGACCCCAGGGTATGAACTCTGTTCTCTGCCAATAACTGGAGGAACTTAGATTAACCCATTGTTTTAAAGCATCATTTTCAATTTGACATTTAAGGTTTCAACCTTAAAGCTTCACCTGCCAGGAATACACACAGGTCTTGCGATTCAAATTACATCCTTTAGCCATGTAAGGGCCTTTCCTTTCTGTTTTGTCTATTTTTCTTCTTTGTAAGTGAACACACCAATACAAACAACATGACAGAGTCATCCCTTCTGAGGCACAAGGGAGTCCTGTGAAATCAACTCAGAGACCTTCTAAGAAAGCTTATAATGATGTTCAACAACTACGAAATCATACTGAGCTCTCTTAGAGCACTACACGATATATGGGTTTAAAAGTTACACCCCTTTCAAAAAGGATTTTGTAAAAAGTGTTCAACATTTGCAGCACAAATGGGAATGAAATTTTTGTGATCTTTCAGATGCCTCTTTTTTTTTTTTTAAATATTATTATCTACTAAGAGTCTGAAATAAGATACATGTCAGACAGCTGGTTTTCCAATTTAACTGCATATTTCACTAAACTGAATGCTTAGTGCTTCTTCCTCATAATACAATATTTCTAGAGACTTTGGTAAAGAATTAATAATTCTTTTGTAAGGAATGAATACCAGTAAAGTGAAAATGGGCCAAAAGATGCACACCACTGATTTCTCAAAAATTACCAAACTGAGTTCGTTACCACATTTAGTGCAATTAGGAAAACAAAGCAATAGAGTGATTTTTGTCATACTGACAAATTGATTTGTTTTAAAGTTTATTCCTCCATTATTCTAGCATCAAATATACATGACATTTGCACAAATACTTATGGGATGGCTTTAAAGAGTTAGACAACTGATTGAGGTTTTTGCCCAAGAAGCCACATGCCTTGCAGAGTGAGCAAGTACCAGGAGCAAGAAATTCTCAAGGGGATTTTAATGACGTTTTAATTCATGTCAAACATTTGTAGATGAATGCATGCAGTTACCTGTACAACTGTTATACAGACAGGCATATTATATATTTGCTTCTGCAATAGGATGACTGTAGACAGTTAAAGCAGAAGCTGACTTGTAAAATACTCCATCCTGTCAGGCAGCTTTGAAGTCTTACTTATGCAAAATATTTATTTGGTAAGTTCTCCAGCAACTACAGCAATCTGAACGGGCGTTCGTGCACATTGGCCCCATCAAGATTTATGGACTGAAAGTAGCCACAATGAAATTTTAGGTCACACACAAGTATTTTCCAGAATCTCTAAGTTTGGAAGGCACTTCTGGAAATCACGTAGTCCTAGCCCCCTGCTGAGAGCAGGCTGCGCTACAGCAGGTTGCCCAGGACTGTGTCCAGTTGGGTTTTGAGCATCCCCAAGGCTGCAGTCTCCACAGCCTCCCTGGGTAACCTGTTCCAGCATTTCACTATTGAGTCTTAGAATACAGAGGTACTTTTCTGACAGTCAACAGTAACTGCCTTTGTATCAGCTAGGGAGTAGGAATAAATAATGCATACGTTTTCTTCTAGTCTAGACCTTTCCGGTCAGAAATTTGGATCCTAAGCCATTGTTACCAGTTTACTTAATTTTATGAAGTTTAGAAGCAGTGTCAACTGTAACAACTAAATTAAGAATATCCAGCTACCTTGGAAGTCTTCAGAATTAGGAAGCTTGACTCCACAAACAAAGTAATCCTTTTGATCATTCTGTAAGTTTAAAATCAACAATGGAAAGTGAGCATGGAACAGTAACATCCAGAAAACAGAAACCTACACAAAATCCGATGACAACAAAGCATTTTTGTAAAGAAAAAAACAAAATATTCAATGAAACCCAGAGTGACTTTGACATAAAGTTTTAGCCCGCGTTTCATACAATTCAGAAATAAATGCAACATTTTTAAAGAAGGAATAGCTTCATCTTAATCAATTCATTATATAAAAGGTTTTAGAGCTCAATATTTTGACATCTGTTTATGTGCACTCCGTTAAAGTTCAGCTAGCCTACCGTCAGGGTTACTTTATATAATTGTAAACAAAATGAAAAGTATCCATTAAATTACAGCTACAGCTATTCTACTTTTATCATGGAGACTATTTGAGAGATGCTGGCTTAAGTCCTCTCCCCATGAGGTTTGCAATCTAAGGACTAAATCCAAGAAAAAGCTGGAAAAAACAGCATGAGCGAAGAGCAAGTTTCATCATGAATAAAACATGAAATTTGCTCGCAGCGTAATAAATAGGAAGTTCACATCAAGCAGATTTTTAGAATGTTAAAAACATACCAGATCAATAGGGTAGATATAGGATAGCTCCGACAGCAATTGCTTGCATCGAATAGTCTGCTGGGCATTTGTCTTCAAAAACAGTTCTCTGGAAAAAGAGATCCCAAAACTATTAGTTTCTTCAAAAGCTTGAAGTAAAGGTATCAAGCCCTCGTACCCCTTCTGCATCTTCCCAAGTATCACCTCCCCTCCCCAAAAAAGCTAGGTAATTCCACAAAAAAAAAAAAACCAAAAACACCAAACCAAAAAAAAACCTACAGAAGACAAAGCTAACTTTTCATTTGCAGTTGTACCTCATGTTACAGGCCTATTTTGACTACGGCAATTAAGTATTACAAAGCTGTGTTACACTGAAAAGACCTAAAAGTCCTATCACAGTCTACACATGCAACCAAGCACCTCTCCTCTTCTAGACTTGCCACTGGTAATTATCACTGTAGATACCCACAAATTGTAGCAGAGATGTCTTAACAGAAGTTCTGGGGTGACATTAAGAAGAATTTGGTGCCAGGAGTCCCACTTCAAATGGCCTACTCTCAAGCCTGTATTTCCTTTCCAATTGCAGAAAAAGCATAGGTCCTTTTACCTCTTAGCAGTGCATTCCTTTCTTAATTCATGCAGGGATTCATTATGCTCTTGAAGTTTCTGGTATTCAGTCCCAAATGCATTTTCTAAACAACATGAGGCATCAGGAAAAAAATTAGTATTGAGTATTTCCTTAGTTATCTGAAGTTTTAAAAGTAGATAGTGACGCAAGTGTTGGCAATAACCCTCTGCTTACTTTTAGATGCCCATTTTCCATGTTATGCTGCCAAACTGGAGAATGACAGAGCAGGAGGAACACCTGTCTTCATGCACTATACACCATTCACCAGCCAAATACAACCACCAAAACCTCATTCTCCTTTAACACCTGTTCCCCTCATGTCCACAGTAGTGGAGTAATTCAGTTAAGTCATCTCAATATTTGCATAACCAGAATTAAGTAAATGGCAAAAATCTCATTTTTAGTAGAGACTAATTATTTTAGACTCAACTAGGTATTTAAAAGAGTCCTGGAACAAGATCAAGTGTCCCTGTAGCTTGGTCTCTGGTGAGCTCCAGAGAGACAGTGACATAGCGTTCTACTATAGGACACTTTCCCAGTAAAACAAAATACCAAGACGACCGAGCATTTCACCTTTCACTTATGTAATAAGCCATTAAGAGGGATTTTTGTCTTCCAACACTTAAAATGAGATCCTAATCACAGGTACAATAACATCCCTCATGACATTATAACGTGCCTGCATCAAGCCACTGTTTACTGCATTACAGTGCAGCTCTTCTGATTTTCTCATAAAATTTCAATTAAACACAGATTTAAGATTGCTTTAGAGGGGTATCGTAGTAAGACGTTATTTAGAGACAGGATACCAGAAACTGCTGTCCAGAATTCAGTATAACACAGATGGTGAACAGATTATATTTGGCTGCGAACTTCAGATAAAGAAAAACGCCAAGATTAGAGCCAGACCAAAGAAACAAAACAGCACTTTCATTTTGGTCACCAGGATCGTAAACTAGGCTACTACTCTTCTGATCAGCAGATTATGAGTATCTGCAATAGAAGCAGTAACAATGCTACACTTACCTCTGTCATGCAAAGTATTTTTCTCCTTATGCAGCAAGGCTACTTCTTGACCAAGGGCCTTCTTCTGCCTCTCCAGTTCATTACGTAGCACTAGGATCTTCAACTGTAAACATTCACTCTCCTTTTTCTATTGGAAGAAAAATAATTAAAAATAATAATAAAAAAAAATATTAAGCGTTTTTCTACACACAAGCAGTTCTATAAAAGGAGTGATAGGAGGGGAAGAGAAAAAGTCTGGCAGACACTAGTCTTGTCCTAATGGCTGAGCTCATAGATTATGACAGGCAATAGATTACCAAAGACCCTAATCATTTTGCTGCTTTTGAAGGAGAGCAACTCAGCTGTGTCCCACAGTGCTTGTTCCTCCTGTGGGATGCATCTCCTCTCCTGTGCTCAGTGCTGCAACCTGGACCATGGCAGAAATTAAGAGAGGAAGAAGAGGTGGGAAGAAGCTTCCATGGGACAAGTAGATAGAGACTAATAGCCGAGCGCTAGCAGCATGACAAGCTTTCATTCCCTGGCAAAGGGTTTGGCAACAAGAGGGAAGATGAGCAATGAGGAGTCTACACTAAATTGAGGCTGGGAGCTGGAAAAAGGTTGGAAATGTCTGAGCTGCACTATTAGAGCCAATTCCCAGCTTCAGGGTGATGAGAATAAAAGGATACAAAAGGAAGGAACACACAGCAGGGAGCAGATTATGTCATTACACACAACTATATTTGAAGGATCCCTTCTTTAAAAGTTTTAGTATTTGTCCTGTACCTACTCTAAATCTATTCCTGTGTTTAAAAAGAATCTGTTTTTTTTCTTTGATGCACTGTCTCCGCTAAGAAATTGTGCTGCCGTGTGCATAGCGAAGCAGAATTTTCTACCGTAAATGGGTTTTTTTGTTTGTTTTAAGGAAGGAATATCTACCATGTTTAATAGACACTTGCTGAGAATTACCGAAGACAGATTCAAGATGGAAAAGAGAAGTTATGTCCCTTCAGTCCAGTCATACTCTTGATCGAGTTCAAAACCCAAAGGAGCAGTCAGGCATACTTGTGAGCCAGTCTTGTGCAAGTACTACACCAGATACTGCCACTTTGTATAACTTGGCCAGGTTTCACTTTTTCAAACAGTTAATGGAGATAATGCTACTTCAGCGTTAGCTGCCTGGAAAAAGTCAACTGTTGGTGAACTCTTCCTTCCACTTCATATTTGCTTTAATGACACATGTATGCTCAGCCTTATGGTTCAAGGCTCCAGTAGGAAACATGACTCAACATTAAGGAATAAAACTGTAGTTCACAAACTTATAAAGGGGAATGGAAGCCCAACAAGGGTTTCCACTATTAAACCACGGAAAAGAAAAATAGGTAATTATTTCCTTATACTATAGACCATGGTCACTTAGAAGTCGCATCACATATACTATATCATTAGTGTTCTTATAGTTTTGCTCACACATATTCATAAAGGAAAAGCCTTTGCATAGAGGGACAAGGATATCCATAACTGGATGGTTTTTAACAACCAAGATACCAGCAGAAGGCAAAGAAGCTCTGGGTTGGAGTCACTCACAGTAGGTGTTACATTGCCTCTTAAGGGAGCTGACGACTTTGCTTCGTCTACAGTGCAACCCTGTAATTAGAGTGGGGAAACAAACTCCCATTTTTCCATTTTGTCAAACTCTTAAACCAGTTTCACACTTTCGGAAATTAGCTGAGTTCTCTCAACCCAGAACCTACATTAAAGTAACAAAGTAACTTCACATCACAAGTTAGCCCTTTCCTATAAAAGGTACCAGACACCAGCTGACAGGTACCAGCATAATGAAGTCATTCCAAGCCACTCTTGTTCTGTCAATGCGCTGCTTTGAACTGAGCTCAGCTTTTCTGGGCAGAAAGTAGAAACTAGTGCCAGTATTCTTTTTTGGAGAGGGGAAGAGGACAGGCAAAACAAACTGTCAAAAGCTATTGCAAGATCTCATACAATTCCTGCTTAAAATGAATGTGTCACTTGAGTGACAGCTTTTGCATTAATTCCATTCACCCAAAGGGAGCAGGGTGCAAGACACAGCCAGTAGACTCCCCTCACTCTAAATCCACCACAGGTTCCTGTCAAGATTTATCTAAATCATTCAAAGTTTGTTTTTCCTGATAAACCTCTTTCATGCACTGTGCAATGTTTATGCTTCTATAGTATAAAAGCATTTATACAAAATAAAGGTAAAAATAGAATAAGCAATCGATTACTCCACCTGAGTAACACACACAAATCTAAAATCCATTACATTGCACTTCTCAGATGAGTTCCCATTTGAAAAGACAGGTTTAAATAAAGGTTTCAAGTTCAAGTGTTAAAAAAAACCAAAACAAAACAAATGAAGCTTATGGTCAAAACATCAGCCAGATGCTTCAGCAAGCCTGTAGAATAAGGTTTTAAATAGTCAAACCTACCAGTTCGTTGCTCGTAGATGTACATCTCAGCTTTTCTTCAATCTCCCTTCCTATTTTCTGAACAGTTACCTGAGTCTGTTTAATTGCACACTGGGCTCTGTGAAGCCTGTAAGGAGAAGAGAAGTTACAGCTGTACCAAAAGGTTCCCCACACATGTCCTAATGATGAATGCACCAGCCGTCTCAAATCCGGCAGAGATAATATGAATTCAGATTGCCAACTTCTATTTTGAAATGAAACATTAGGAGAGGAATCATAACTTGCACAGTTTATAAATGAGTATCCAAAGCGAACCAGCAAGTCTCTAAATTCAGTCAAGTATCAAACGTCCTCTTCATTTGCTGCATTCAATAGATGCCGATAAGGCAAAGCTGTAGGTGAGAGAGCAGGTAATTACAGGGATCTCACGTAACACCACTGTTAACATCAAGACAGATACACACACAACAGTTACTGTGAGCACTGTTAACACAGGCCAGCTTTAAAAAAAGTCCAAGTATCCTTTAGATAACACACAACTACCCAGGCCAAGAGCACAAACCACCCTTTAGTATCTCCAAATACGTTATGGGCCGTTCTGTAAGAAAACCATGGCTTTCTTAGTTGAATCACATTTGAAGCATGAAAAAGATGATGATGATGTGTTTCTGATCATTAGCCCTGGCTTCAGGGTGAAGAGGGAAAAGTGATTATTTGCCATATTTATTGGGGGAAAAAAAAATATCAGGCAGAGGAAAGCAATGGCAAAAACAGGTCTGGAGAAGGGCATTAACATCTTTCTTAGAATTAACATGGAGTGGAAATTAACATATTTATTAGAAAAAATTAGAGTTGGTCTGCAGTCATAGACTATGCCTTTTTAAGGCATGCAAACCCAGGCTTACTTTTCCCATTCAAAGTTTCACTACTAATGGCTTCTCCTTTTGTAAGGATATTCTTCTGGCAGCCTTGCCTTAACTCAACTAAGGTCTAGCTGGAACAGCAAAAATGTGGTCAGATAACCTACTGTACGACATTAGTGCTTTGCCAGGCAAACATAACGAAAAGACCAAGCCTCCTTCAATGCATGTTTTAATGATCATCTCCATTTCACCAAAATTAAAAATCTCTGCCTCTTCATAGGAATGATTAATTTTACTAAAGCAAGGCTATGAATTTGCTATGAGCCAAGAACCAAAGCACTAGAGCACACAGAAGAGGCTACTCAGCTCCTTTATTTTACATTCTCTAATCTCTTCCAGATTTACAAGCAATTGAGGCATTACTATTTAAAGTTTTTGGCTAACGGCTTTTAATGGTCTGTATGCAGCTAAACCATGATAACCAGGCTACATGCTTCAAGTATGAGTAACCACAAAGCATTACTCCTCCTCACACCATCTCAACTCAATGGCATACATTACATATTGGTTAATCTGTGTGAGGACAGCACTTAAACCACCTAGCCCAGCAAACAAATACACGGAGAGGAGATTATACATGGACAACAGGGAACAAGCAGTGCCAGTAATATTAAACAAGGTCATTGCGATTTAGGACTTTTACATGTTACAAGTGAATACATTTAAGTCATCGGACACCCTTGGTTCCTTCGCACTCTTGCTTCTCCTAAATGACACTCTCTGTAAGATTTTTTTTGTTTGAAATTATACTAAGTGATTACTTTGGTTTCTTTAGAGCTCCTCAGACTGCTCATAGCACAGGAGCTTTTTGGGGATAGCTGTAGCCCATCTAAATCATACATCAAGCAGCTCGGCTCTGCTGACTGCTAAAGGCTTCTGGGGGTGGAAAAAGACTACTGAGGCCAACAGAGCTGGGTCTGGGTCACCCAAGGGCTCAGTCTCACATCCCTACTGGAGCACTGAGACCTCCTGGAAACATTTATTTCCTAGTGGGAATTCCTACTTATACCTCCCACCTTCCCAAATACATCTTGAGGCTGTTAGCTAAGTAACGTATGGTTACACAGGTCAAAGCCAAGGTTTGCTGACCACCCTGAACATCATTTAGATCTCTACATTTCCTATTTCAACAGTTTCCATCCTGTCCCCTTCCAAAATGGTGCATCATTTTCTTTGCAGACATAAGAAAGCCTTACTCAAAGCTAAAACTTATAGGTAAAGAGTAATAACAGAGTGACATTTCCCTTTCCCTTTCTCTCACCTTCATCAAATTTTATACTGGAAGAACATTCTTGATTTAGTCTGTCAGGGGATTAAGAAAGAAATTCTACAAGTCTTCACATCACGCCATGTAGGTAGCAAAATCTGACTGATGAAAATCGTTTTACTCTTTGAAAAGTATTTATGAAACTGATAAATTGTTAGAAGGGTCATTTGCCAGTTGAGTTCCTCACAGCGATACTCAGCTAACAACCTACAAATTTTATAACAGCTTCAAGTTCTTCTGCCCGTGCCCAAGTATAAGGAACAAACATTATTCAGACTGACTTCTCAAACCAGTACATACCTTAGGATACTACTTCTATTTGGTGCATCTAAATTTAAAGCTATATTTCTAATCTATAAAGACTGCTATACAGAATAATTCAGCAATAAAGTCTGCTTTTAATAAGAAACTGTTTTCTTTTTAAGCCAAACATCATCCAGCCATTTCTTGCAATATAAGAAAAACCATACAGTTAAACTTGGCTGCCTTGATACCAAATAGTGCCATTTACATTGAGCCAACCAGTATCAGTTAAGTTTTCTGTCTTGCAATCCCAGTATGTTCACTGTTGTTCCGAGATCTTTAAAATGGTGACGGTAAGATCATGACCACATCCAAAGTTAAGCCTTCCAAGATTAAAATTTTAGGGATTTCATGTCACAAAAGCAGCAACTACCAACAGAAATCTCCTTGCCCCAGCCAAAAAAGCCTCCACTGCACCCACATGGAAATATTTGGTCATCCAACAACGGGAATACAAACTAAGCCATAAGAACGCCAGCAGGGAAATTTTGTCCATCATTTCTGCATGCACAAGACGTACTTCAGTGGAGGCAATTATGATTGTACCAATGAATGGAGTTCAGCAAGTTGAGGCCATAAATCTGGATTAAAATTTGTATCTAATGAATGGAGAGAAACTTCAATGCTAATTGACTGCATATTGTTTCCATTTCTAGTCTGAATGCAAGTCCAACACTACAGCCTAAAGTTAGCACAATTTGGGCTTTGAGTACAATCCGGCTTGGTTTAGTAATTGACAACGATGAGACAACTGATGGCATAATCTACATGCTATCAGCCAACACAGGATTCTTCCTGGATTGTTTAAGAGGGTTTTTTTTATTATTTATTATTAAAATTAGCACTTCCATAGCACTTTAAGAGCTCATTCAGGGCTTCAAGAGGCCACTGGCCTGCTACCAAATTTCCTTCGGCAGTCAGGAAAGCCAAGCCAGTTACAGCAGAAACTCAAGGCTTTTTAAAGAGATAGCTTAGCCAACAGTGTCGTCATCCTGTGTCTGCGGCCTGTTCTGGTGTCTCTGCAGCAGCTCACAGCCATTGTCAGCCAGCAGCAAAGTAATACGAATGTTAAGTGTGACAGATTTACTGCTGTTGCTTGGGGCCCTGAGAGCTGCTGTGCAATTGTCCAACATCAGGCGAGTTGCATGCCGCTGCCTGGGAAAGAACTGAAAAGCAGAGCAGACGTTAGAATTCCTTACCACCCTAATATAGCGTGGAGGTGGAGATCCACAAAGCTGTTTTTCTACTTCCATTCTAATATCACCTGCTTTCTGAAACGGGGGAAACTAAGAGGAAACAAAATACTCTCCCTTCCTTTGGAAGTTTAAAAGAAGTGGGATAGATACAAAAACGTTAGCCATTTACTGTAAGCCAAGACCAACAAAAGCTGCGTCCCTAATCAATCTAGGAAGAACCAGCAGGCAAAAATTCAACATCTCTCCTCTTCACTTGCTAGTTCCCAAGTTGCAGAAATACGGGTTATTTGGTGTAGTTCTTCAAGGCTTTTTAAGTTCGAAATAAAACTGTTTCCTCTTGTCCCCAAAAAACCCCTACTTTCTACCTTGTCTGTAGGATTTGAAACAATTCTAGCATACAATGTTCTGCCGATCAATTCAACGTGGGTACTGACTTGGAGAAAAAAAAGAAAGTTACCAAGTTTTGGACTTCATCATTACAGGATTTCTTTGTAATAATATCCTTGTCTTGTTTGCAAGATCAAGCAATTTTCCTGACATCCCAAAGACTGCACAATGCAGTGGTCCAACATAACTTGACTTTCCAACTTGGGAATGTGCTGTAACAACACGCTTGCTCTCTTTCAGCTTACAGTATGTTTGAAGGTTCAGCTGAAGCACTCTCCTTTATGACACATTGCAGTATCCTGCAACTGAGATACTAGACTAATTCATGACCAAGAGGGGTGACTTACCAGTTTATATAGCAAGTTCATTCCTGACTGCAATCTTTAAAAAACTGAAAGCTGGAGTGTAGTCACAGTTGTGCCTATTAAGCTAACATATGCTTGTATTTACATTAATGAAAGAGTCTCAGCTTTATTAGACATTTGATACATGATTTTGTGGTCCTATCATACGCTCCAAATATCTATTTGCTTCTATCAGACACATCTGGAATTTTCATGTACAGAATTTTAAGCCATAAATACATCAATTAATTACAGCAGTCACATACTACAGCTACTTCTCACATGAGAAATAAATACTACGGTCTTATTTGCCAGAACAACCTTAGTTTACAATGAGACTAAATTTAAACTGAGAATTACTACCAGGGATTTAGAAAATAGAACAGAACACTTCTGGCAATAAGCGAGATGTAGGATCCTGGAAGTAAAATACCCAAACCTACTATTAAAGAAAAAAAAAAAAATCCAAGACTTTCCTATTAAATACAAGAAATGGAACACGCACTTCTTTATATCAGTCCAGAAATTAGATTATGGAGAGTGCCAGCCAGCTACAACATATTTTTTACATAGCCCCTTAAACCATCATTTGCTACATCTGCTTTCCCACAAGAAAAATTTTTCCTAATTTATAATCATATACTCCCTTTCCCAATTTCCTCAGAAACCTATACCTACAATTTGTCAAAAGCAGATGTAGGGCAAGA